GGGTTAGAAATGAAAGTTTGAGATATACATGAAATTCTTAGAAAAACAATGAATTGAAATAATGGTAAAAATAAGATAATCATTCTTCGATGTCTTAAAGCTGATCTAATACATGCAAATCCTTACACAATATTTTTTAAAAACTACTTTAATATTGAAACCGATTTACTATCGGATAAAATAAAACTTGTTTTTGATAATTGAAATTCAATTTTGGCCCTAAAATAGAAATAAACTTTGCATCAAATTGTATGTCTCTGATGGGAATGGCTTGTGAGGGGACAGTAGTGTCTTACGGGAACTTATTGCCCGAATCGTCGTACAAGTCATTAGTGTTGTTGCACTTGTATAAGGGATACACAAAAGTACCCACATATCCGGCATTTGGCTCTTTCTTCTTGTAGATCCAGCCATCGATACCCACTTGAGTGCTCTGACCGTTGATGACGGGACTGTCAGTGTAGTCACACTTTTGCATTTCATACTCTTTTGGATAAATAACAAGTTCGCAATACTCGTACTTTTGATACTTCTCTACAACAGCAGACCCACTGCTTTTGAGATACCAATCGGCGCCCATTCGGCGCCAATTCTTTTCGGGAGCAGCGGTTGTGGGCATAAATTGGGGAATGGGTTGTATTTGAAAGCCTGCGCCTCTGAGTGGGAGCACCGGTGGGGGCAGAACTGGTTTCCCGGGGACTTTACACATTCTGGGCCTGTAGTGGTGGGCAAGTGGTGGTGGAGGTCGATGCTGGCGGCCGGTCAGGTAAATGCCGGGCGCGTTGTAATCGATTGCCAACCAATCGTTGGAATTTATTATAGTCTTCAACATGGGGTCGAGTGGGGCGGAGAACGAGCTGGAACAGCAGTCATTCTGATGATACTGCTTGTCGGTGACGACCCCGGCGTACAACTGCTCGTACCGGTGCCGGGCCTGCACTTCGTCCATACCTTCCTTCCACTTCCTGATGGCAGTCACGACACCGTTTTGAGGCGCCGACAGAACCGCTCGGATTTCGCCATCGATCGAATCAAAGGCAATGGTTAGACCCCAGCAGTGGGTCTCAAACTTGGATTCCGTGGGCCCCAGAAATACCACCGGATGTGTGATTGTCTTGAGGCTGGCTTTTGTTGCCCCGCCTTTAGGCACCAGAAAATCGCAGTCAAGAGCTTCTTCGGTGGTCAACGCCTTAAAATCATGAGTACCCCCTACAACTGCATCGGGCGGCCCCCACTTTAGCTCGAACTCCACCACCACTACACCGCCCTGTTGTACGAGACTGCGGTTGTGGTGCGTCCCGTAATTGTGGGGATCGCTGACCAGTAGTCGGGCGCCGGCGCACACGTATAACGCAAAATATTTGGCCGCCTTAGGGGTTGGCAGCGGTGATTTCGATTGTTTGGTAGCCATGAGTTCAAAGTCCAATATATCCCATACGTTGCCTAAGCTGTGCAGCTTATTGTCCATCACGAGTCGGTACGATTCGGCATCGGTAACGTGTTGTGGCATTGGGTCGAGTGCTCCCCTCACGTGCCACCGACGGCCGCGCCGCTGAGGGGTCGCAGGGGTTGCCCTCGTTTCCTGGAAATGAAGGCCAACACAGAGATGGCCTTCGCTCACAAAATATTTCTTTTTAAACGTACATTTCTTCAGGTACGAGGGGGTGGGATATATTTGGCCCACACTGGCCATTGGTAACCAGTAGTCGGTGTCCGGGTTTCCGCCGGTACTGCCGCCAAACCATTCGGTCACGTGAAGGCTCTTGGCGTACGACGTGAACACCAAAGTCCCCCACTGGCGGTCGGCCTCCCGGGCCTTCCATTGCCGCTCGCAATCGGCGTATATGCCTCCGAGAAGGACGCCCTCATTGACCATACAGTACAGTGCGGTAACCATTACTACCATTGGCTTACTGTGCATATAGGTTATGTACCAATCTGGATCAGGTTGGGGCATACCGTGGAGTGGTTGATTAAACTGTGTTGTGCTACTGGTCCACACCAGCGCCTGACCCGAGGGGTCATAGTCTCGTCTGACAATCACTTTGCGCAACACTTTGCGGCCCGATTGCGGGTCCGGCTCCGGGAACTGACCCCTGTTTACCTCCATATCGTTGTACGGATTGTCTGTAAAACTGATCCCAAGATGTCTTTGTGTCTCTGTTTTTGTTGCAAACTTTACTCTCGTCTTAACACTAATCTATTGTTAGATTGTTTTGATTACTATTTTCAATAATAAATTATTAGTTTTCAAAATAATTCAAAACTAATTTCACTTTTATTTTAAAAACTTAAATATCAAATGATTGTTACATTTGTTTGTATTGAATCGCAATTGAAGTTAATTTTATGCATTTTATCAATAAATGTGTTAATTATGGACACAATGTATTGTCCCGTTTTGTCGCCAGACAAACGTCCGCTCATATCATACACTATACAAGTGCTGTCCAAATGAGTTGTCTGTCCACTAAAGTGACCGAAAACTATCATTTCGTTGCCGTCATCGGCGGTCACGTGAGAGCACTCGTCGTTTACATTCAGCACAAGTCTTTGGTGTCTCTGAAGAGCTTATAAAATAAAGCATACATTTAATGTTCAATACATGTATATTTGTAAAATTATTTTCTGTAAATAATTGGTCAGCTTTTAACATAATATTTTAAATCTACCATAATTATGTTATAATAAATTTTAGGCTATCTGTTCTACACAAATTAGCATTCTGTACATAATACAGTTCATTTGTTTATTCAATCAGTCATATTTGGTAATTTTTTAAATATAAACATTTAAAACTTATTGTCAATTAAATCAAGCAATAAACCCAATACTTACTGCTTTTCAATACATGTTTAACTCTAACGGACAATAACTTGAGACCACTTTTGGTGACATTATGTCCGCTAATAGTGGCGGTGAAGACTCGGGAGAATTTGGGCGAACAGACCATTTCATCAAACAATTGTCGGGCCCTCTCGACCCTCATCTCCGCTATTAAACCCATTTCCACTAAACGCTTAGCCGACGGACAGTTAGACCGCTGAACACAATCGCACAGTTGGGTACTGTTGTCACACACCGTATCGATCCCATCGCTCCGACGTCCAGCCGGTGTAAACAGTTGGGTACAGGAGTCGCCTTAAATACCATGATAAAATGTATTCAAGTTGCATTCAATTACTTTAGCTTTATACCAACCTTGATTGTTATACTCGTATACTTTAACCAATGCTGCTTGAGTATTTGTCACGTAATGTACTTGCACTGACCGGAATTGTAGACAATAAGGTTGAATGAACGGCACGTATCGCATATAAAACACGACATTTCTGTCGGACATCTCATACGCGGTGACCAACGAGTGGTTCATTGAGACAATCTCTCGCAAGTCGTGGCCATTGGGTGTGAAACCGGTGAAAACACCGACATCGATAACAGTGAGACCAGCATTACTGGCGGGCATGTGTTGAACACACAGTTTGACCAACAAAACCAATTTACTTCTGTGGCTATCAGTGGTCTCAATGGGTTCGGGACTGAGATTATTAATCCGTTTAAAAGTATAATTGTTTGTGTCGGCGATTTTAACCGTCGATTTGGTGACCCACTGTCCGCCGGTCCACACATCCAAATAATCCGAGTCTTCAGTCGCTGTGACCGACTGTGCCGTCCATTCGTCGGCCGAAACACTCACATCAAACCTACAGAGAGGTTCGTCCGGCGACTCAAACACATTGTACTTCATTGTGACGGACAGTCTGGCCATTCCAACGCCAGTAGTCATCGCAATCACTCGAGACACATCTGTGGCGTCCAAAAGTAATGTTTGTAATACGGGTGCGTTATTATCATTAAACGCCAGTCTCTTATCACCGCCGCTATCGGTGGTAATGTTACAGACAAGTGACACACGTCTGTCCTCCTGTCCCCTATAAGTGCGCTCATTATAGACAGACAGGGCCTCGAGTGCGGTCACCGTATCTTCAGTGACCGGTGCGATGGCCGACGTGTTTCGGCCGGCATTCAGCCAATTAGCCCACGAGTGTTCGTCAATCTTATCCATTGTTGATAAAGTCATTAAAGTATAGGCGACGGCGGCGGTGGTGGCGGACGAGTGATCATTAATCTCTACTACAGGGGCTTTCTCTGGGCGGTGCCCTCTCAGCCTCAGACTATAGGCGACTATGGCTTCTAAGTATGTAATGTTTGGTGTGATTATCGCTTTGTTTGTGTTCATTAAAAATGTTTCCGCAGAAGCGGTAAAGTTGTTATCATCACCAAAATTGTAGATACATTTTTGTATAGCGATTAATACGCTAGCAGTTAATGGGACGGTATCCCTGCGCTCGTCACCTAACCCATGTGTATTCAATAATTGTGTCTCAGTCCACGAGCCATCCCTGTCCTGTCTATCCATCAGCCATTGAATGCCATGTCTTATCACTTGTGAATCAAATTGATTATTATTGACAAAACGGTTCGCTTGACACAACACTTTGGCCACCGATGCTGTTAAGTAGACAGACGAGGGTCGGGTAATTGAGGGGGAGGTATAGGGGCTAAACGAACCGTCCGTTTTCCGGAACGATAGCAACTTTTTGTACATAATCTTAAGATATCGGAGTCCATCGTAAGCCTGTTTGGCGTTCAGGCGATCAATTGACTTCAGGTACTTCATAGTAAACAGTGTGTGTGCAATACGTAACATTGTCTCAATACCATTGTGTTGTCGATGAAAACCAGGAGTGGGTAGATCAGGCACAAGGCCTCCGTACACATGTGCCAAACCAGTGATAATACACTGTTGAGTGCCGGGAACTATAGGCCGGATGGGGTCCGGAGTGATGTCCATAATAGTCTTCTGCAATGATATAGTTTGTAAGATCTCATCATTGATGCGATCGGTTATCACTTGTCTGCCGACTCTTCGTTGTCTATTCCGCGGGTCTAACCGGACGGACAACTCTTCCCTAATTTCAACGCCCGGCGGCCGGACTCTCAACACCTTGACCACCACATCGGCGCCACCGGCCGACCAAACGGCCACAAATTTGACAGCAAATACTCCACTCCTGATGGCAACCATCGGATAGGACACAGTCTTTAATGAGTTACTGTCCACTCGTATCTGCCGTTTAGGCCGGTCTTCATCGGTCTCGGCCTCCGAGCAGATGCCGTCCACCCGATAGGTATAAACCGTTACCGACACTCGTTTGGGACTGTGGTTAAACACAGAGACAATGGCCTCCAAGTGTTCGTTCTGTACCACCGATGGAGGCATTGATATGTCGAGGAATATGTCTTGAAATGAGCGCAACTTTACAGGCAATGGCTGAATGCAAAAGCCGTTGTCCGCCGACAAAGACATAGCGCTCAACGACCACGTGGTTATTGAATGGGGAAGTGTTACGGCATGTACTGTTGTGCTGAAAGTAAATGTGAATTATAAATTAATGCTGAATTATAATTGATTAATGTAAGTTTATTAATATACGTTTGATTAATAACAACGATGTCAAACAGCCAGGTTTGCCTAAAGTCTGACCTAATCAACGCCCTGTCCTCCCATTCCTGTTCGTACGCCACGTGAACAAAGTCATCGTCAGTGTTGTCGTCATCGAAAACATCGTTTTTTGCTTTAAAGTCAGTTAAAAATTAATAAATATATTCATAAAATTTATACTAAAATAATAACTCACACGGAATCACAAGAAAGCCGTCAAATTTGTAAACATTATGGACAACTGTTGTATTAACAAGCTCACAGCATTCTATGAATTTATCCAGGCAATTTTTACGCACGTATGCGTATAATTGGAAAGTACTTGGCAAACAAGTACCCTGTACACTTCCTTCCTCCTTTCCCAACTCACAGCACATTTCATTATTGTTATTGAGCTCCGAAATAATGGCCGATATATGACTGCTGACCCCCTGTCCCTCACGGCCTCCTCGTATCGCACGTCTGGTCCGTTGTCTTCGCCGTCGGACACAGAACTCATCCCAATTAGCATTCGAGTCATTTATCGCACCATTAATTATCTTAACGCCCATATTGTTGGCCACGAGCAGCACATTCAGACCCGTTCCCGGACCGCAACCCGTATCTGATTTTGACAATTCGTTATACAGTTTACTTCTCGTCAGTTTGTCTTTGTCTCTGAGATGATAAACGGCTTCATCGATGGCTAACAATCCTATACTATTACCAATAGATCCAGATATCAGCAAATTTAACTGCTGTCCCGGTTTCGCGTCCACCATATCGTTATCAAACCGGACATCAAAAGCGCACTTCTCTTCGTTGACATATATTTTAAGTGAATCTGAAACCAGTTGTTTGCCATCGTTTGCAAAGCCTAAGACCATAACTCGTATATAAGGTGTCATCTCCCGTGTAATCTCTATCCGCAGCTTATTATCGGTAATCATTTGCGTGTGAATAATATTACCCCGATTTAAGACCACTAAATGCAATACATTAGATATAGTGCCGCCGTTGACCACAATTTGACTATGGTAAATGTCACCCACCGATACTGTCGTGCTATTAATAGATTTGTTTGCAATATAAACAAATCCATATATTGTTTTGTCAGCCCATAATATATGAGTGCCAATTGCTTGTTCATTAAGGTAATAATCAGGGTCTACAGTTTTAATTGTAACATGTAGTTCATTAACACTTTTATTAACATTAATGGGCAGAGATAGCCGTCCCAAACGGTCGGTTATTAAATAATTTTTTGCTAGGTTTCGAACCGTTAACCAAACCGGTAAATTGGGTACAACTTCTCCCAACACGTTATTAATTTGTGCCTGATAAGTAAAGTATAAATAATATTTTATATTTAATATATTAACCAAGATTATCTTACATTAATAAAAGTTGTGACATTTGGCTTAAAGTCTGTAAACGTGTCCTTAAATGATATGACATAAGGAGTGGTGACAAACACCACACTGTCATCGATGGTCCGTTCCTTACGTCCGGTGACCGTCTCGTGAACACTGACCTCAACCACCAGTCTATAGCCGACAACTGTCGGGAACCACGCAAACGGTGTTTGACGTAATTTATTAGTACTCAAAGTGTATTCAGCGAAACCATTGCGCAATTGTTTGGCTGAAGTGCTGCCAAAATAATGACTGCGATTGTCTTTGGGATCTTTGACGCCATACTTAAACCCAACGGTTCCGGTGACCGCTTTTCCGTACGTATAGTTTACGGCAACTGAACCGCTGATGTCATCCAAACTTTGTAGTATGTATTTCTGCAGCGGATTTATTTTGATAGTAAATGTCGGCAAAATGTGTTCAATCACTTCAAATGATACGCTCGTATTGTGTGAAAACTGTTGGATTAAATGAAGTTAGAGAGAGAGAGAGAGAGAGAGAGAGAGAGAGAGAGAAAATTATGTGATATTTAATTACATGATAATAATTTATTTATTTTAACAATTTATAACTCTTACAGACAAACCGCTAAGAGTTGGTCTCAAAGTAACAAATATCTCATTGACAGACATTGAGCCAAAAGTGTTACTTTCGGTTACAATCGATATTTTGAATCAAACACTTGAATCTGTTATCAAAGTTATCCCAATTTCTGGCTTTGTGTTCATTCAAACCGATAAACCCTTATATAATCCGACAGATAATGTGCTCATACGGTGTATTAGACTCGATGGTAGACTTCGGCCACTCGTCGACCAGAGCTTCAAACTTAGGATAAAAGTATAAAGTAATACAAAATAATTAAATAATTTTACAAAATTTATTTACAAAGAATCCACAAAACATATACACAGAGGAAACAACTTTATGGTCAAATAAACCCAAATATTTTGTTGACTATCGATTTGAATTTCCACCCGAATCCACACTTGGCCTATGGTTTGCCGAGATTTGGTATGGACCAGATGTATGTCTAATATTCTCTCTCTCTCTCTCTCTCTCTCTCTCTCTCTCTCTCTCTCTNTTAATCAATTATAATTCAGCATTAATTTATAATTCACATTTACTTTCAGCACAACAGTACATGCCGTAACACTTCCCCATTCAATAACCACGTGGTCGTTGAGCGCTATGTCTTTGTCGGCGGACAACGGCTTTTGCATTCAGCCATTGCCTGTAAAGTTGCGCTCATTTCAAGACATATTCCTCGACATATCAATGCCTCCATCGGTGGTACAGAACGAACACTTGGAGGCCATTGTCTCTGTGTTTAACCACAGTCCCAAACGAGTGTCGGTAACGGTTTATACCTATCGGGTGGACGGCATCTGCTCGGAGGCCGAGACCGATGAAGACCGGCCTAAACGGCAGATACGAGTGGACAGTAACTCATTAAAGACTGTGTCCTATCCGATGGTTGCCATCAGGAGTGGAGTATTTGCTGTCAAATTTGTGGCCGTTTGGTCGGCCGGTGGCGCCGATGTGGTGGTCAAGGTGTTGAGAGTCCGGCCGCCGGGCGTTGAAATTAGGGAAGAGTTGTCCGTCCGGTTAGACCCGCGGAATAGACAACAAAGAGTCGGTAGACAAGTGATAACCGATCGCATCGATGATGAGATCTTACAAACTATATCATTGCAGAAGACTATTATGGATATCACTCCCGACCCCATCCGGTCTATAGTTCCCGGCACTCAACAATGTATTATCACTGGTTTGGCACATGTGTACGGAGGCCTTGTGCCAGATCTACCCACTTCTGGTTCCCATCGACAACACAATGGTATTGAGACAATGTTACGTATGGCACACACGCTGTTTACTATGAAGTACTTTAAATCAATTGATCGCCTAAATGCCAAACAGGCTTACGATGGACTCCGATATCTTAAAATTATGTATAAAAAGCTGCTATCGTTTCGTAAAACGGACGGTTCGTTTAGCCCCTACACCTCCCCCTTAATTACCCGACCCTCGTCTGTATGGTTGACAGCATCGGTGGCCAAAGTTTTGTGTCAAACAAACCGTTTTGTCAATAATAATCAATTTGATTTACAAGTGATAAGACATGGTATTCAATGGCTGATGGATAGGCAGGACAGGGATGGCTCGTGGACTGAGACACAATCATTTGATACACAATGGTTAGGTGACGAGCGCAGGGATACCGTCCCATTAACTGCTAGCGTATTAATCGCTATACAAAAATGTATCACCAATTTTGGTGATGATAACAATTTTATCGCTTCTGCAGAGAAATCGGAAACATTTTTAATGAACACAAACAAAACGATAATCACAGCAAACATTACATACTTAGAAGCCGTAGTCGCCTATAGTCTGAGGCTGAGAGGGCACCGCCCAGAGAAAGCCCCTATAGTGGAGATTAATGATCACTCGTCCGCCACCACCGCCGCCGTTGCTTATACTTTAATGACATTATCAGCAATGGATAAGATTCACGAACACTCGTGGGCTAATTGGCTGAATGCCGGTCGAAACACGTCGGCCATCGCACCGGTCAGTGAAGATACGGTGACCGCTCTCGAGGCCCTCTCTGCCTATAATGAGCGCACTTATAGGGGACAGGAGGACAGGAGTGTGTCACTCGTCTGTAACATTACCACCGATAGCGGCGGTGATAAAAGATTGGCGTTTAATGATAATAACGCACCCGTATTACAGACATTACTTTTGGACGCCACAGATGTGTCTCAAGTGATTGCGATGACTACTGGCGTTGGAATGGCCAGACTGTCCGTCACAATGAAGTACAATGTGTTTGAGTCGCCGGACGAACCTCTCTGTCGGTTTGATGTGAGTGTTTCGGCCGACGAATGGACGGCACAGTCGGTCACAGCGACTGAAGACTCGGATTATTTGGATGTGTGGACCGGCGGACAGTGGGTCACCAAATCGACGGTTAAAATCGCCAACACAAACAATGATACTCTTAACCGGATTAATAATCTCAGTCTCGAACCCATTGAGACCACTGATGCGGTGTATTCATTTAACCAAAACAACCAGTTTGACACACAAGTTGTGTACGGGCGGTCATTACGACCAGAGTGACAATAACTACAGCCATAAAAGTGGCCAAAATGTGGGTTACCGGTGCTGAACGCAGAGATCGTCTCAATGAACCACTCGTTGGTCACCGCGTATGAGATGTCCGACAGAAATGTCGTGTTTTATATGCGATACGTGCCGTTCAGTCAACCTTATTGTCTAAAATTCCGGTCAGTGCGAGTGCATCACGTGACAAACACTCAGGCAGCGTTTGTTAGGGTGTATGAGTACAACATTAAAGGTTGGTATAAAGCTAATGTAATTGAATGCAACTAGAATAAATTTTATCATGGTATTTAAGGCGACTCCTGTACCNTCCGGTCAGTGCGAGTGCATCACGTGACAAACACTCAGGCAGCGTTTGTTAGGGTGTATGAGTACAACATTAAAGGTTGGTATAAAGCTAATGTAATTGAATGCAACTAGAATAAATTTTATCATGGTATTTAAGGCGACTCCTGTACCCAACTGTTCACACCGGCTGGACGTCGGAGCGATGGGATCGATACGGTTTGTGACAACAGTACCCAACTATGCGATTGTGTTCAGCGGTCTAACTGTCCGTCGGCTAAACGTTTGCTGGAAATGGGTTTAATAGCGGAAATGAGGGTCGAGAGGGCCCGACAATTGTTTGATGAAATGGTCTGTTCGCCCAAATTCTCCCGAGTCTTCACCGCCACTATTAGCGGACATAATGTCACCAAAAGTGGTCTCAAGTTATTGTCCGTTA